ACCTTTAAGGATAGTAGGCCTACCTCTCGCATAATAATCCTAACCTATCCTATATCCCAATAACCAAATACACATGGATAGGCATTAGGCATAGGATAGATCACAGCACCTTGATGTTAAATAATCCACGCCCAGACCCTCACGTGAAGTGGATAATAGGATAGGTGGATAGGTGAAGGACGTACTTCCACTATCCTACCAGAGGGATTAAGTATACCATATGGGATTTGATCATCTTATGGGGTCAATTTAATAGGATTTTAAAGAGATTAATAATGTGTAAGGAAATAATGGATTATTTTCTATGGTAACAATATTTATTCTATTATTTTATGTCTCCACTTTTACAACCAATTATTTCCACACAATTACAACCCTACAATTACAACCCTACATAACCCCACAATTACAACCCTACAATTACAACCCTACATAACCCCACAATTACAACTACACACACAATTACATCCCCCAATTACAACCCTACAATTACAACCCTACACAACCCCACAATTACAACCCAACAATTACAACCCTACAACCCCACAATTACAACCCTACACAACCCCACAATTACAGTACTAAACCTCTTGACCTCTCTCCACAGGTCACAGCGGCGTGAACCAACTGGGAGGCGTCTTTGTATCCGGCAGACCATTGCCTGACACTACCCGGCAGAAAATCATCGAACTTGCTCACTCCGGGGCCAGACCTTGTGATATCTCCAGAATTCTCCAAGTCTCCAACGGTTGTGTCTCCAAAATTCTCGGCAGGTGAGAACAGGTGGTAGTGGTGGTGGGTGAGAGGGTTGGTGGGGGTGGAAGAGGAGAGTAAAGAGGAGGAGGATGAGAGAGGAGAAGGAGGTAGAGAAGAGAAGAATGATGAAGGGCAGGAGGAAGGTGAAGAACAAAGAAACAACAACAGATACAAAAACAACAATAAGAAAAAAAAATATGAACAACAACAACGACCATCATAATAATAATATCTCAATTACTACCACTACTACTACTACTACTACTTTTTTTTTTTTTTTTTAAAACATGCCTCAGCCTCCAATAGCCACCTTCCCACCATTTATTTACATATATTAAATATCCTAATACATAAATATCCTATCTGTGTAAATTAGTTGAGCCGCAGATCGATGCGGCATTCGACTGTAGCCTCATAGTCGATATGCAGTTGACGGGTGAGGCAAACTCTCGTTCCCCTGAGGCAGAGCAAAAGCCGACCGAAGGAGAAAGAAAGACAGTCGACATCTCATCCAGCTGTGACATAACTTCTGGGCGCTGCTGCTTCTGTTCGGAATCAGCTCCGCGAGTCTGGCGTAAAAACATCTTGCGCGGGCCCATCCACAGAGGTTGTGAACACTAGCGGGTAAGCTGTGATCGACATTTTGAATTCTCTCCCCATGCCCTTCTCTTGTCGTTCTCGTTCCTCCTATGTGCAGCATCGAGAGCTAGGTTACGGTGACAAACGGCCCTGGGATAAAATCCTGATGTCGAAGAAGGCTCGCTGTCCCGTCCAGAATCCTCGAGCACTGACGTCCACAGGCTCGTTAGATGTGTTTGAAGTCCTGTGTTGGAGGATCTCGCCATCCAGTGGAAGGGTCGGTTCTACCATGACGTCCCGGCAGGTTTCCTTCAACATATTTGCTGTGAGATCCCTTACCTCGTCATGCCTCATGCATATAAGCCCCCTTCTGCAAACCATGGCGTGATCGCCATCATAGAATAGCACCACACACCATTGGGAGGCAAACCATCTACTGGCCAACCGTACCTTAGAGCAATGGCATCTGTAAATTCTTGTTTGTTAAGGCTGAAACCATTTGCCTATCGGTAACGTAGTTAACCAGTTCGAGGCCCACCTCCTGCGCTATGGTTCTTTTTTTGTCAGATTTTCTGGAACCTGCAGCAATAAGCAACATGTCATTGGCAGTGCTGCCGATCTGTTGTAATGGATCTACGGATCTTAATAACTTCGCTGGTGTCACCCCTGTTGCATTCTGGGCTATTATGTGGTCAGTGAGGGCTGCCGTGAGCTTAAGTGATTTTGATGTTCAGAGTCAGCAATCTCCTCTGGATTAGTTAGTCCCATCCTCCCAGTCTTGGTGGAAGTGCGAAGTGTTCTTTCTACTGGGGTTAAGATGTGTTTCACTAGTTTGGGAATGAACTTGACACTGATTGCTTCTTCCAAAGGTGGAGGTCGGATCTCAGGGATACGCATCAGGTAGTTCAACGATCTTGACTCCATGTGTGAATGCTGCAAGGCTGCTACTTATAATATAATAATAATAATAATACCCTTCTCTCCATCCGGCTACAGGTACTATGAGACAGGCTCCATCAGCCGCGCAATCAGGGGTTCCAAACCTCAGGTGGCCACGGCGGTAACCAGGATCCCAGTTCAGAGAATGCCTCAATCTTCGCCTGGGAGATACGTGACCGGCTCTTATCTGAAGGAGTTTGTTCCGCTGATAACATACCCAGTGTAAGTACCTGTTATTGATGGTGTGATTGACGGTGTGATTGATGGTGTTATTGATGGCGTTATGGGTATTGATGGTGTAATGGTGTTATTGATGGTGTTATGGTGTTATTCGTGGTGTTATGGTAATATTCATGGTGTAATGGTGTTATTCATGGTGTTATGGTGTTATTCATGGTGTTATGGTGTTATTGATGGCGTTATCTTACATGGTGTTATAGTGTTGGTGTTATTGATGGTGTTATGGTGTTATGATGGTGTTATGGTGTTATTCATAGTTTTATGGTATTATTCATGGTGTTATGGTATTATTCATGTTATGGTGTTATTCATGGTGTTATGGTGTTATTCATGGTGTTATGGTGTTATTGATGGCGTTATCGTGTTATTCATGGTGTTATGGTGTATGGTGTTATTGATGGTGTTATGGTGTTATTCATGGTGTTATGGTATTATTCATGGTGTTATGGTGTTATTCATGGTGTTATGGTATTATTCATGGTGTTATGGTAATATTCATGGTGCTATGGTGTTATTCATGGTGTTATGGTGTTATTGATGGTATTATGGTGTTTTTGATGGCGTTTTTGATGGTGTTATTGATGGTGTTATTAATGGTGCTTCTGTTCTTACTGTTACTGTTACTGACAGTTTTAGTTTACGGAACATTATCAACTCATTTACGTAACTTTAAATCCTAATATAGTTCCAGGTGTTTTTCACTAATGACTCACGCACCTGTCCACACACCTGAAGCCTTAGATAAACACCTGACTCATTAGCACCTGTGTATCATTGTTACTTTAAATCACGTAACTATTATATGTGTATCATTGTTACTTTAAATCACGTAACTATTATATTCCACTATATTTCAAGTTGGTTAGGATTAGGTTAGTTTTTTTTTGATCAGAGAATGGGGGCGCGGGAGGGTGTAGAGTGGATTAGATTCAGTGAGGATTAATTTAAGCCACACTGCTGAGGACCCCACGAATTTAATCCACACCTGCTGAGGATCCCACGTATTTGATCCACATTAAGCTGAGGACCCCACCAATTTAAGCCACACTAAGCTGAGGACCCCACGAATTTGATCCACATTAAGCTTAGGACCCCACGTATTTAATCCACACTAAGCTGAGGACCCCACGAATTTTATCCACATTAAGCTTAGGACCCCACGTATTTAATCCAACATTGCTGAGGACCCCACGAATTTGATCCACATTGCTTAGGACCCCACGTATATAATCCACACTAAGCTGAGGACCCCACGAATTTGATCCACATTAAGCTGAGGACCCCACGAATTTGATCCACATTAAGCTGAGGACCCCACGTATTTAATCCACACTAAGCTGAGGACCCCACCACGCACATGATGATCCATTCTAAAGATCCACAGAAGAGGGTGAGCCAGTATAAGGGGTCCACCATACCCGTAAAGATAAGGAATCTTGGTCCAACTGAAAAGACAATTGATAAGGCCGCATAAAGTACACCTAAATAAATATTAATTGTATTCCTACTATTTAAATTACTGTATATCATTTAATTTATAACCATCAACTATATTTAATTATCCACGTAAGACAAATAATTTACGTCTGAATTTTATAAAATTCCTATGTGGTTTTTTCAGTCATAAGAACCGGTCGGGTTCCTGTGTCTGTGAAAACCAACAGAAACTATAAAAAATCGAATTATTTTTCTAACGTGATAATTAAATATAGTTGATGGTTATAAATTAAATGATATACAGTAATTAAATTTAGTAAAAAAACAATTAAGAAGTTTATTAAACCTTTTATTTATGGCGCTGATAATTCAAATTCATAATTACAGATTAATTAATTTAAACAAATAAAGGAAACACTAGATTAAATTAGACAAAACTTAAATAAATTACCAACATTTCGAAGGGAATATTAAAAAGATAACAAGCTTTGACTTTTTCCAACATAAGTACCTGTTATATACACTTGAAAAGGTAATTAATTAGTAAAGGTAATTATGTTACACGGAAGAGATTAATTATAGTAGTGGTTATCATAGCACAAACAGCTTGAGATAGACGGGTATAGAGGGCATTATTGTGGGCATGAGGGTATTATTGTGGGTATGAGGGCATTATTGTGGGCATGAGGGTATTATTGTGGGTAAGGGGCCTATTGTGGGCATGAGGGTATTATTGTGGGTATGAGGGCATTATTGTGGGTAAGGAGGGCATTATTGTGGGTAATGAGGGCATTGATTGTGGTAAGGAGGCATTATTGTGGGTAAGGAGGGCATTATTGTGGGTATGGAGGGCATTATTGTGGGTATGAGGGCATTATTGTGGGTATGAGGGCATTATTGTGGGTATGAGGGCACAATCTCAGGTAATAACTCATTATCCCTTTAACCACTAGTGGGCGCCCAGGTATGTGTGGTGGTTGAGGGGGTGGTTGAAGGGGTGGTTGGGTGGCGTTAGGATGGTTGGGTGGCGATAGGGTGGTTAAATGGGGTGTTTGGGTGGCGGGGTGGCGGCTACCTGCTGAAGCCCCAGGTATAGGGCAGCGGCGGTTGGCCTCGGGGGTAGGAGGTTGGCCTCTCGCCTTACCTCTCAGGCAAAAACTGGCATCTTAGGAATGTACTTGTTCACTTCTCCAGTTTTTAAAGAGATAAAAATTTCTCCGTTTTTTTTAGCTTTTCTAAAATTTTAGATTTAATCTAATTTTTTACTTTTTAATGTTTCTAAAATAATTAAACAATCTTCTGTTTATTTTTATGTATTTATATTTATCGTTTTTATTTCGTATTAATTTATTTATAATATTAAAAAATTAATATTTAATAAAATTTAATAAATTGTTTTCTGATTATTTAATTCGTGTTAATTTATACTTAATATAATTTAATTCTTCATGGGACAATTACCTGGGAACACCTGCTAATTAATATATTTTTCATATTTTTTTTTCAATTATTTATTTACGTAATTATTCATTTATTTTCTTAGTCATGTTTATTGTAATTTATATTTCTTCTGTTATTTGAAACCTCTTTATATGGACTTTATGTAAGAAGTTAGTTCGTTATATGGAGGTTTTGCCTGAGATTTTGGAGAACACACACACACACACACACACACACACACACACACACACACACACACACACACGAAACCATTATCTAATTACGCGGAAAAATCACGAGATAAGACACGCAATATGCACCAGAAATAATCCGTAGTGTACATAGCGATTGGACAGGTGGATAAATGGCTGACAGTTAATTGGACAGGTAGACAGAATGGTAGACAAATGGGTAGATGGACAGGTAGTTGGATAGGTGGACAGACAGGTAGATGGATAGGTAGACGAACAGGTAAACAGACAGGTAGACGACAGGTAAACAGGTGTACACAAACAACAGGTGGCGGCAGTTTGTACCAACATGGAGGGCGGCCATTGTTGTGTTGACAGTATGTAACATGATGCCCCCACGTAACTCTGACTCCCTCCTCCTTCCCTCCCTCTCCTTCCCCTCCCTCCTTCACTCCCTCCCTCCCTCCCGTCCTTCATTTCAGCACCCTTCCTTCCATCCTTCCTTTCTTCATCCTCTTCATTCCTTACTCCCTCTTCCTTCATTTTGACACCTCTCCTTCCTCCCTTCTCTCCCTCCTCGTGACCTTTACCTACCTTCTCCTTCCTTCTCCCTCCTCCTTTTGTGGTAGGTATGGAATGTGGGTGGGGGTGTGAGAGGGGAGGAAGGAAAGAAGGAAGGAGGAAGAAAAGAAAAAGAAAAAAAAAAAAAAAAAAAAAAAGAAGAAGAAAAGAATCTCCTCCTCCTCCTCCTCCCTCCTCCTCCTCCTCCTCCTCCTCCTCCCTCCTCCTCCTCCTCCTCCCTCCTCCTCCTCCTCCCTCCTCCTCCTCCTCCTCCTCCTCCTCCTCCTCCTCCTCCTCCCTCCCTCCTCCTCCTCCTCCCTCCTAATCTCTTCATCTCCACAATAACCAGTCACTACGGTGTTGTCTGAGCTGATTGGACCCTCCACAAAAAGCCCAACCAATGAGAAAGGAGGGAGGGGCATTTCTTAACCAATCCCACATCACCATCTTGGGAGACACTGACCTCCTTCGACCAATCAAGACGCGTGTATGCTGGCCAATAGGAACCCCGGATGCCATAAGAAACTGACCAATAGGAAGTCATCTACAAGGCCACGTAACCTTATAAATATAGACAGAAAGTTACAATACCTCAAGTTTACCTGTGTATAATTAATCTTTTGTTTGTTGGGAATTTTACCTGAATCATCACTTATTTTCTTTATTTATTTTTTCTCATTTTCTTATTTTATTGATTTTTTCCTTATTTATTTCTCTCTATGTCTAGATTATTTAATTTATCGAGGATTATTATTTATCATTATTTTTTTTGTTATCGTTTATTTACTTTGATTTTTTATTGAATTTGTTGTATATTTTTATCAATTTATTGCTTTATCTGTCATTCTAAAGGGGTTAAATCGTCATTCTAAAGGGGTTAAATCATCATTCTAAAGGGTTAAATCATCATTCTCAAAGGGTTAAATCATCATTCTAAAGGGGTTAAATCGTCATTCTAAAGGGGTTAGATCATCATTCTAAAGGGGTTAAATCATCATTCTAAAGGGGTTAAATCATCATTCTAAAGGGTTAAATCATCATTCTAAAGGGCTAAATCATCATTCTAAAGGGGTTAAATCATCATTCTAAAGGGGTTAAATCATCATTCTAAAGGGGTTAAATCATCATTCTAAAGGGGTTAAATCATCATTCTCAAAGGGTTAAATCATCATTCTAAAAGGGTTAAATCATCATTCTAAAGGGGTTAAATCATCATTCTAAAGGGGTTAAATCATCATTCTAAAGGGTCAAACCATCATACTCAAGGGGTTATAATAATCGGAAATATAATCTTGAATGTAATTTATCGATTATCCGGAATGTTACCGAATAATCGACGAATTATTCCCTTAGCTGC